TCTACATATAGTTTCCAAGTCTGATTCTCTGGTTGCTCCGGTGTGCCCAGCACTGGTAGTTCAGTTAGGAAATCTGCCAAAACCTGAGCCTTCATGCTGACTCGGCTTTTATATTCTATATCATATTCACTTAGTTCCACTGCCCACTTCGCCAATCGTCCGGATTGATTTGGACTATGAAGTATTGTTCGGAGTGGCTGGTTGGTTAACACTTCGATTGGATGAGACTGGAAGTATGGGCGCAGCTTCCGGGCTGAAGTTACTACTGCAAGTGCGAGTTTTTCCATCATTGTGTACCTTGTCTCTGGATCTGTCATTGACTTACTTATGTAGTAAATCGGTTTTTGCTCCCCGCGGTCTTCCCGGACCAAGACTCCACTAACTGCATGTTTTGACACTGAAACATACAAATAGAGCTTCTCGTCCACTTCGGGTTTAGACAACACTGGTGGAGTAGTGAGGTATGCTTTAAGTTGTCCGAATGCTTCTTCACACTTCTCATCCCAAAGGAACCCTTTATTTCCCTTCAGAATTTGATAAAAAGGCAGAGACTTGTCCGTTGATCTTGAAATAAATCTGTTTAGGGCTGCAATTCGACCAGTCAGACGCTGTACTTCCTTGAAGTTCTTCGGGGATGGCATGTTTAGAAAGGCATTAATTTGGTTTGGATTAGCTTCGATTCCTCTTTTGGTCACGATATAACCAAGGAACTCTCCGGATGGAACTCCGAAAGTGCACTTCGCCGGGTTCAGCTTCATTTGATATCGGTTGAGAATTTCGAAACACTCTTCCAAATGCTTAATGTGATCCTCTTTCTTCAAAGACTTAATCAACATATCGTCTATGTAGACTTCCATTGTCTTCCCGAGATGCTCATGGAACATTTTGTTGACCAATCGTTGATAAGTGGCACCTGCGTTTTTTAAACCAAAAGGCATTACTTTATAACAGTAGGTACCTCTGTCTGTGATGAATGACGTCTTTTCTTGGTCTTCGGGATCCATCATTATTTGATTATAACCCGAGAAAGCATCCATGAAAGTTAATAACTCATTTCCAGCGGTGGATTCTACGAGCCGGTCTATATGCGGGAGCGGGAAACTATCTTTTGGACATGCCTTATTGAGATCGGTGAAGTCGATACACACCCTGTCCTTTCCATTTTTCTTTTTGACCACGACCGTGTTTGCTACCCACTCCGGGTATTGTACTTCCCTTATAGATCCTATTTTTAATAGTTTGTCCACTTCATCATTTACTGCCTTTGCTCGCTCTACTCCGAGTTTCCTTCTCTTTTGTTTCACAGGCTTAAAACTTGGATCTACGTTCAATTTGTGGCAGATTATGCTTGGATCTATGCCAGGCATATCGGCCGCTGACCACGCAAATGACGTCTTGTTTTTCCTTAGAAGTTCAATCAAAGCTTCTTTTATTTCGCCAGTCAAAGTGACTCCAATTCGGACTTTCCGATCTGGTTTATCTTCTTCCAATACCACTTCGATTACCACATCGTCTTCTTTTTGCCCACTAGGAAATCTTGGAATTTCCTTCTTCGCAGGTTTCGTTAATTGCTATTGGATCTTTAGTCGATGACTGGTCAGATAGCACGTTCGTGAAGCTTCTTGACTTCCTCGAATTGTTCCCACTCCACTAGGAGTTGGAAATTTGATGCATTGATGATACGTCGAGGGAACTGCCTTCATTTGATAAATCCATGGAGTCCCAAGGATGATGTTATAAGCTGCTGGTTTATCAAAAACAACAAAATCTACTATCTTTGACACGTTTTTGGCAAGAACTGGTAGCTTGATCGTCCCGAGAGACATGGCCGATTCGCTTGTGAATGCCACCAAAGGAGACGGCGGTCCAACAATATCTGCCCGACTGATTCCCATTCTTTCCAGGGTACCTAAAAAGATTAAGTCGACCGAACTGCCCGTATCAACGAGAATTCTCGAAACTTCGAAGTTGGCGACGTCTAAGGTAATGACTAGGGCGTCATCATGAGGCCTTTCGAGGTGACATGTTTCTTCTTCGTCAAATGATATTGACGTGCCTTGAAAGTCCATTTCTTCACCTAAATTTGCTTTAAATAAAACATTTCGCCTATGCTTCTTTATGGCATTGATCGTATCCCGACAAAGCTTGGAACCTCCAATGATCACATTGATTTTTCCTTTAGAACTTCTAGGTTCTTCTTCGTTGGATTGCCTAGGTCTTTTTAAATTCTGATCTTTAGGGGTATCTTTCGCCTCGTGATATTCTTTCACGAAATCTTCTATCTTGAATTTAGAAAGATCTCCACTGGCCCATAGCTCTGCGAGGTGCTTTTTGAGGACACTACAATCTTTGGTTAAGTGTCCGGTTACCTTATGGATGTCACAATGCAAACTTTCGTCACGGACCCAAGTGTTCGACCTTCCTTTTCCTTGAAATTGTTTCCCGACGGTATTGTTGAGGGGTTGCGATCCGAACTTTTTAGGTCCTTGGTTCTCTCTGGGCTCGAACTTTCTGGTAGGGAAAGTGACCGCTGGTTTTGCTTGTTTGTTCCTTTTCGCAAAACTCTCTTTTTCGTCTTCTACTTCCATCCAGTTATTTGCACGGAAAAGTGCGTCTTGAATTGTGTCCGGTTTGTGAAGTATCAGATCTTCTTTGAACCTTGAATCGTGCCATAAGCCTTTTCGTAGGGCAGATAGAGCTGACTGCTGCGAGATTCTTGGGAGTTTTGACAGCACCCCCTTGAATTTGGTGATGAAAGTTCTAAGTGACTCATTTGGCCCTTGTGTTAGATTCCAGAGGTCAGCATCCGAAACGCTTTTATCCATGAGGATAGAATATTGTTTCAGGAAAACAGCCGACAACTCGTCGAAGTTATTGATTGAGCCTGGTTCCAGCTGAGTGAACCACATTAGTGCTTGACCGCAAAGATTTTCCGAAAAGAGTTTGCAGTATCCTGCATCCTCATCAGCTTCATCCAATTCGACTCTTCCGGCGGCAATCAGAAAAGCTGCGAGATAGCTCTTCGGGTCTTCTAATCCACTGTACGGATCCAGTTTGAGTTTTCGAGAATCCTTGATTCTCAAATTTGCAATTCGCGGAATGAAAGGAGTTCGCCTAGCTTCTTCGATGACTCGGTTAATGTCCGGCTCCGAACTGGTGGCCTGGTGGAACTTTGACTTCATTTCTTTTAGTTCCTGGCTAACCTTCCTCATGGTTTCGAGCTGATCAAAGCTATCTTGATCATACTGATCCACAAGCTGATCTTCATCTCCGAGCTGCGTCTCTTCTTCCACATCCGGTTGGATTGTCGGGTTAGAAGTTGTTTGTTCGTTGGTCTCACTTCGCACACGGGAGTTTGGCGTATTGAACATGCTTCTTCGGACTCCCACGGTACTTCCTGCACCTAGAGAACGAACACGAGATTGAATAGTATTGATGTTTTGACCAAGAGATACCTGGGTTGTTTTAAGCGTGTCCACAGCTTTTTCCACATCCGAGAACTTCTGCGACATTTCTGTTATGGCTTGCTGCATGGTCTTGAGAGCCTCGGCTACTGTCGAATCAGGGATGCTTGTTCCAGACATTGCTGCTTATCTCGGAAATGAGAGAAATCTGACAACTCAAGAATCTTCTAGATCCCCACAGACGGCGCCAAAATGTGGATGTCGGATTCGCACACTTGAATATTTGTTTAATTAGTGGGAATGATTATTCTTGAGGACAAAAATATGATAAAAAGCTATGAATTGCAATAGGAATGACTATAGTGTATTTGCTAGAAAAATTGCGTATATCTTACATGGCTACTAGCCTTCTTATTTATATTGACAAACGACATTTAACTCTCAATTAAACACAATTATTCTCTCTTAAATGTGTCCGTTTTGGTCTTCGAGTTTTAATGCCCAACGTTTGAATTTGAATTGATTCCGATCTTCATGGGCTTCGCCTTCTGGCCCAAGTAATCCGACTTCGATTCCGAGTTATATCCCGAGGTGTGACCACTCCGGGCTCTCTTTGTGATGACGCCCACTTCGATTATATCTTGTGATCCATGGGCTTAATGGGCCTTATCCTTTGTGGGCCTTCATCTTGATTACGTGGCAATCTTTGGTTGGTCCCGGTCCACTGGTGCGGGATCCGACACCAACATTTACGGTTTAAGGTTTAGCATATAATTTGTAGGATTTATGGTTTACTGTTTTGGGTTTAGAGTATAGGGTTTAATGTTTAATATATAGGGTTTTGGATTTAGACTATATGGTTTAGGGTTTAGGGTTTAGCCTTTAATTTGTAGGATTTATGGTTTACGGTTTTGGGTTTAGGGTATAGTGTTCAATGTTTAGTGTATAGGTTGAGGGTTTAGACTCTAGTGTTTAGGGTTTAGGGTTTAGGGTTTAGGGTTTATGGTTTAGGGTTTAGGGTTTAGGGTTTAGGATTTAGGGTTTAGTGTTTAGAGTTTAGGGTTTAGTGTTTAGGGTATAGGGTTTATTGTTTAGGGTTTAGGATTTAGGGTCTAGGGTTTAGTCTCTATAGTTTGGGGATTAGGGTTCAGTGTTTTGTGTCTAGTGTTTAGGGTTTAGTCTCTATGGGTTAGGGTTTAAGCAATATCTTCATCACACTCTATATGAACCTAATCGATGATGGATGTGAACATATGGATGATTAGAAGATATTGCTTAAACGAGATTGTCTCTTCACACTAGTTCAAATGAAAAAACCAAAATTACCTAGGAACTAATAATTCAAATTCATCTTTCCATCAATATAAGATGATGGATGTGAACATATGGATGGTCAAAAGAGATTGCTTAAACAAGATCCTCTCTTCATGCATAAACCAAAAATATCTAAGAACTAATAATTCAATTCATCTTTCCATCCATATAAGATTTGATTCAAGAGAATCTTTGCATTAAAGTAAATCTAAGATTTGAGTGTGCACAATCACAAAAATCACTTCATATAAAAAGAGTGATATAATCTAAGTTCATCTAAATTAAATTGCTAAATCTTTCTTAAATTAAAGAAACAAAAGTAATCATCTTAATCATTTATTCCTGACACGACTCTAAGATCTTACTAGATCCAAACTGTATAAAATCCACCAACTCCAACAACGTTTGCCTCTTAATCTCCTTCTCTCTCGCGTTCTTAATCGTGTCAGTGAAATCGAATAGAAAACAACAATTCTGAAGTTTTCTCAAGAACAAAGATTGCCTCTCTAAAACCGGCACATCCCTAAACAACGAGAGTACCTCCACCGAGCCCATGGGCGGAAGTGGTGGAGTTGCAGTCACTGGCGACGGAGACGAATTAACCAATGCACCACGAGATGCGTGACTAACGACCACATTGGAGCCAATCCCATAACTAGACGGTTCATTAACTTCGGATTTAGAGGGCTTTCGATGCCCACCTTTCATGATTTTCTTAAACATGGCTTACGCAACTAAGAGCAAAGGACCCCAAACTAAGCCCTAAGTTTCCGAGATGAGGAGATTTACACTAGCAAAGGAGCTCAAATTGAATCAGTATGTAACGGAGAAGGAATCAAATGCCTGAGAATTCAGATTCAAATCCTAAGATTTCACAGATAGCTTCCACTATGCCTCTCTCCGATCAAGCTCCTCATTTTTGTAATCCAGCGGATAAGGATTTGGAGAAACAAAGCGAGAAATGATAACGGAATATTGTCGGAGATATGAGGTGGTGAAAATCAGAGCATTGAACTAATTATTTGGTTTTCAGATTAGAAAAAAAAATGAGAGAGAAAGAAGAATAACGATGGTTGCAGAGGAGACAATAACATTTTAGATCTAAGAAGAAGAGAGAAATAAGGATGACGATGGTTGCAGATATTTAGGTTTTATTTTTCAGTTTTGTTTTTGCATTATTTTCTCCCACAATCAAATCTGTTTTCTACTTTAAATCTGACGGCCAGAATTAAAACATGTGTAGTTACTTTCTAACCATTCTAGTTAAGCCTTTATAAAAAATCTGAGGGCAAAATTGTATTGAATTTTGTTGTACAGTGAAAAAACCTTAAAAAAAGTATCTACTCCCACCAAAGTGCTCATATTGCTCAAACAAACTTAAAAAGTACCCCAAAGTGTGAGAAACCCTAAAAATAATAACAAACTCAATCAAAGTGTCTTGATGAAGACATTTTTTCTATTAGGGATTTTTATTTTAGAACCATTTTTTTTGTTCTCTTTCTTACTTTTTGTAATTATTTTAGTGCAAAGTATCTTGTTTAGACATTTGCAATGGAAGTGTTCTAAGAGATTCTTTAAAGCTTTCCTACATGATCCTAGCTACACCATACCACACTTGATCATATGGATTCAAAAGAGACCAAACTTGCCCTTTTTGGAGTCAAATGCAATAAAACTAAAATGGCTCTTTCTCTCTTTGATTGTGCGTGTTTTGAAGCTCCTCTTTCACATCCAGAGAATTCCAAAGATGCATTAGTTCCTCCCTAAGTTCTGAAGATACAAGACAACAAAACTTTCCATATTTGGCCGATTTTTTTTTTCAAAGTCTTTATTTAAAATTTGATGATTCGTTTCGTAGTTTAGCTTTTAAAGACCGTTGTCTATGAGCCTAGAAAAGCTCAGTTTTGTTTTCATTGTAAATCACCTTTTATCATCATATATATAAAAGTAAGTTTCACTTTCTCCTTATTGGTCCACATGGCAATAAGAATAAAAAATATATATATTTTTAATTAAAACACAAATAAATAACACATATCATCATATACATTTAAGTCACACTTTAATATATAACTGAAATCATAAAACCTATGCATTAACTTTATTTTCACAAATTATTTTCAATTAAAACACAATTAAATAATCTATTTAATCATATACATTAACTCACACTTTAATATAAAACTGAAATCATAAAATCTATGCATTAACTATATTTTTCACTCAATTTTATTCAACACACAATAAATTAAAATTGTAACTCCCAACTCCCATCACTTATCATTCTATAAATAATCATTCACTCATTCTCTCATTCACTCATTCACTCATTCTCTCATCCTCTTTTACTATATCTCAAATCTTAATTTTTATTTTTGTTTAGTTTTAAGATTTTTTTGGTTGGTTGTTGTTGTTGTATGGATTTTAAAAAATCAAAATTAAATATAATTGTATAAGCGTAGTTCTAAATTTTAATTTTAGAGATTATATGATATATATCTTACATTTACTTTGAATTTTTTAAAGATTAATATCCATTGTCTATTTTAGATTATCATCTTATAAGTGGTCATTCTCTCATCCTCTTCCACTATATTCATGTATCTATTTTTTATATTGCTACTAGATATGGACCCGTGCGTTGCACGGGTTACCGGTCGAAATTGTTATTTTTAATTTTTATTTTTGTAAGCTTAAATAAAATTATATAAAAATATATTTTAATTTTAGAAAATGTAGTATTTTAATTATTTTTAAATAATACAGATTAATTATGCATAATATGCAATATAAAACACTATTTGTAGTTTTGTTTGTTATATGTTACAGTACATGTATGATATTTAATAAATGTTCATATGTGTATTATTGAATTTCAATAAATTATCTACATCCATCGGAAAAGTGTATAACACTTTCTAATTTTAATGTGGGCAAGATGGAAACAAAATTGTGACAATATGAGACCGTCTATATCCAAATCATGTAACTTTACTTGATAATATGAGAAATCTTCAAAACAAAAGGACAAATTCATAAGGAATTAGAGAATATGTACTAAATAACCTAAGACTAAAAAAGAATTAAGAAAATAATATTAACTAAACAATTTCTATTTGCTATATGGTTTTTGTCAATTTTTAGCCCATATTACTCATGAGTACTTCGTTGTTTTTTTTTTTTCCTCTCGCCGGCGAAAAGTCTCAATTTCTCTTTTTCTCTCATTAGATTTCTCTTATTTTTGCTCGATCTCCTCTTTTTTTTTTTTTCTCTCCCTCTCGTTGGATTACTTCACCACCATATATTTTTTTCTTTTTCCATATTACTATTTCTCTCCTTCGCCGGGCATCACCACCGAGTCTCAATACTCCGACTCACCAGGCCACCACCACAACTGAATCTCACAACTATCACAATCATCATCACCATCAATACTAAATCTCGCTAATTCCGATCCACCATCTTCATCAACATTTACCGCCACCACCACCAATCTTGAACCACCATCATCAACACAAACACCACCGTTATCGCATCTTCCCCTCTTTCTCCAACTGCTCTTATTTCTCCACCTTCTTTATCTCCTCCGACATCGGGTCGAGATTCTTCGACAACAACTCTATTTTATGTCCATCACCCTTCATATATTCTTAATTTGTCTATCTATTTATTTGTTTATCTATACAGGTGAGTATTTAGAATCCTTTTTCTTCAACGATTAATAATTGATTATAAAATTTCTTTAATTATCATATTATACAATAAGATTGTATAATTTCATAAATCTTTTTTAATTTTAAGGAAAAAACAATCTTTTTCTGTTAGAATTAGTAGCTTTAAATTAGAATTAGTAAATAGTTTTTTAATTGTTATTTTCATTTAATAAGATACATATAGTTTCCTTATAATTATCTTCTTTACTTTTTAAAAATTGTTTTTATAAGATATATATGTATAGTTGCTTTATAATTTTTTTTCTTAAATTTCTATTTTTATTTAATAAGATACATCTAGTTTCCTTATATTTATCTTCTTTAGATTTTTAGAATTGTTTTATATAAGATATATACGTATAATTTCCTTATAAATTTTTTTCTAAACAAATCATTTTTTTAGTTTTACACGTTGATAATTTTTGTAAATAAATAAAAGGAAATTTTTGTTTAACACGTGTCAAAATCTGAGATTGATAAATTTGACACGTGGCACGATCCTATGAGTTATTAACTTTGAAAACCATACTTTATATAATAAGATATGGGTTAATATCAAAGGAAAAAATCATTGTAAAAATTTGATTCAAAATTTATTTTTAAAAGTATGACATATATCTAACATTGTTTTTAATTATATTTTCGACACCATACTAGATAATACATATTAGGGCGACTCACAAAAATGCCCCTTTTTCAATACCCCTTTTCAAAAATGCCCCCTTTGGCTGTCCATTTTTAAAAATACCCCTTTTTATGTACAAAATGACTAAATTACCCTTCTTTTAATAAAAGATATCACAAATATATAAGGAAATATAACAAAATTAGGTCCACAAAATACAAAATATTTTTTGGCGGGAAAAGTGATCCCGCAATTTTTCTCGCCAAAACACTTGTAAAAACTTGTAAAACCTTTAAAATACCTTGTAAAATTTTCCCGTAAATTTTTTTCCCGCCAAAAAATTTTTTTTGCGGGAAAAGTGATTCCGCAATTTTTTTGGCGTTAAATGTTTGGCGGGAAAAATTTACAAGGTATTTTAAATGTTTTTTACAGGGTATTTATAAGGTTTTACAATGTATTTTAAAAGGTTTTACAACGTATTTATAAGGTATTTATAAGATATTATAAGATTTTACAAGCTATTTTATAAGGTTTTACAAGTTATAAGGTTTTACAAGTTTTTTATAAGGTTTTACAAGTTATAAATACCTTATAAAACCTTATAAGTACCTTGTAAAACCTTTTAAAATACATTGTAAAACCTTACAAAACACTTGTAAATACTCTGTAAAAAACCTTTAAAATACCTTGTAAATTTTTCCCGCCAAAAAGTTTCCCGCCAAAAAAATTTCGCCAAAAAAATTGCGGAATCACTTTTCCCGCAAAAAAAAATTTTTGGCGGAAAAAATTTTTACGGGAAAATTTTACAAGGTATTTCAAAGTTTTTTACAAGTGTTTTGGCGGGAAAATTGCGGGATCACTTTTCCCGCCAAAAAATATTTTGTATTTTGTGGACCTAATTTTGTTTCAAATAAGGGTAAAATGGTCACTAAAAATTAAAAGAGGGCAAACTTAAAAATAGACTCTCAAAGGGGGTATTTTTGAAAAGGGGTATTGAAAAAGGGGCATTTTTAACAATTTCTCTACATATTACTTCTTTAATTTTCCGAAGCAAAATAAAAAACAAAACTAAGAATATCAATTCTAATAATCGCACAACAAAGAAAATAATGTTAAGAAGATCCATCTCCATTTTCTACTTTAGATGTTTGATTATTTCGTATCATATTCATGTATTTGTTTTTAATTATGTGATATTTAATAAAATAAATTATTGTAAGATATATATCAAATACTTTTTTCTTACATCGTTATTATCTCAAATAAATTTTCGTAACTCATTTTTAATACATGTATCATTATATTTTTTTTGTTCCAATAGATAATTATATAAAGATAATTATAATATTTATTTTATTTAAAATTTGAGGTTTAATTGATTTTTGAAAACAAAAAGCTTCATATTATTAGTCCTTAAGATTAAAAACTGAAATCATATGTTTCAAATTAAATTTAGTTAAAATACAATCATTAGAATGAATCCTTCCACTCATAGTTTTTTTTTTTTTTTTGCCAACCTTCCACTCATATTCAAATTGTGTGAAATATAGAAAAAACAAACTATAAATAAACAATTTTTTTATTAAATCCTATCATTAAATATGAAACCATTAGTTTGAAATTTAG